GGAGCTACAGCCAGACAAGATGCAAAATGAAGAATGGGCAATAAGAATGGAAAACAGGGGAGGGGGGAGAAAAATTGTAAAGGTATACTTGAGAGTTCTTGATTATCAATTGATGTGGGAGGTTAGGGAGAAGTAAAGAATCAAGGGTGATAGCAGGTTCTGACTCAGGTGACTGAGTGATGGCTGTCACTGAATGAAGAACACTCAAGAGAAGGCACCAGTGTGGAGCAGGGAACATAAGAAAAACTGTCTTGCTTATTACTTATTGTTACTTATTTGTTACTATATGCCAGCATTAAGATCAATGCTTTTCATGTTATTACATCATTTAATCCTCACTACAATGTTATGTTAGGTAATATTATTATGCCTAATTTACAAATAAGATACTGAGGCACAGAGACATTAAGCACTTTTTCCCACTATGTCATAACTCCTGAGTGGCTGAGCCAAGATTCAGACATAAGATTGGGTAGAAATTAACAATATTGCTAAGCGTGGAATGCTAATTAGACACAAGAATGGTGCTATTGAAGAGGTAGCCAGAATCTAGATTTCAGGACAAAAAGTCCACCTGGTGTCTTGGAGGTCAAGTGAAGAGAGGATTTCAAGAAAGGAGTGATTGACAATGCAGATGTTGCTGACAGAGGAACCCAAAGACTGAGACTAGATTATTGGATTCAGCAACATGTAGGTGATTGAGGTCGACACGAGTGGAGTCAGTAAAGTGGTGAGGACAGCAGCTATTTGGAGTGGGCTCAGAAAAGTGGGAGGTGAGGTGTGGAGACTGTGAGTGTATACTCTCTCAAAGACCTTTGCTTTACAACAGGGAGCAGAGGACTAGGGCAGTAGAGAGGAATACGGGGTCAGGGAAGGTTTTGCTGTTAAGACTGCAGCAGGGTTGTATACCCATGGGAATGAGTCAGTAGAGGAGGGCATTTTCATATTACAAAAAGGAAAGGAAGGAAACCCCTAGGAGAAAATTCTGCCTGTAGGCAGAACGGTTGGCTTCCAACAGAAGCAGGAGGAGTGAGGTCATTTTCACAGAGAGAAAGGCAGAGCACTTGGACACGTAAGGATAATGGGCATTCTGGTAGAAGAGCAAAGCAGTTCTCTTATCCTTCTCTTTTCTTGGTGAAAACAACTGCATGATTACAAACTGGGAGTAAGGAGATGCTGGAAGCTTGAGAAAAGAGGGAACATGGCAAATACTGTCTAAATCTGGGGACCCACTCGGGATCTTCAGTGATAAATTTGAAGTGAGACCTGATGTGTCTCTCCAGCCATGTTTGTCTGTTTAGTTGCATGTGTAGAATGGATGGAAAGCTGGCTTCGACCAACAGGATTTGGGTTTCCTCCAGGGAAGTACAATGAAAGGAAAGAAAAGCAAGGGTGTGTTCAAGAGTAAATAGTAATAAAACATATGTTTGAAAATAAGCAGAGTAGGGCTGATGAGTAGGGAAAATGTGGCAGGGCGCAATGTTAGAATCCCAGGGAGTCCAAGAATTGGTGGACTGAAGGCAGCACAGGAAACTGATTGGAAAGCTGGCAGTGGTCAGTTTGCTATGCTCTGAGTTACGACTTTGAGTGCGCAGTGATTACTAATGAGAAAGTCTTTGGTGTGCCCGTGGGAGGGGTGACTGAGGTGGAATGGATGAAAATAGCACTGGAGGTGAGGCAGTTAAGCAACTAAGAGGTCGAAAAGTTGGGTGCCTCCTTCCATGAATGTCCAAGCCACCAAAAATGATGGTAGTAATGGTGGAGGAGATAAATACAGTGAGCCAGGGACAAAAATCTTCGATGACTGAAACCTGAAAACAACTAAGAGGATAGTATATAATTGCAACAAACAAGATAGATGGCATATAATCTGAGGATATGCAAGTCAAACAGGGTGGTGGCCTGTCCAGGAAGAAGGAAAAAATGATCATCAGGAAGTGGAATAAGGACAAAGAGGACATCAGGCTTGAGTCTTGGTTCTGAAGGGCAAAAGACGGCCTTCACTTGAGAAGGCTGCTTAGGAATCCGTGTCTTTGGAGGAAAATCGGGTGTCAACAAGAGCAAGAAGGTGGAGGGATCATTCAGAGAAGAGGTCTCTGCTTTTGAGGGAGCACAAGGGAGATCTAAAGGGGGGAAGTCAGTAGGGAGCCTCGGCCACACAGAGCTCACAGAGATGAAGAAAGAGATCCAGTGACTGAGGTCCACAGTGATGGAGGGTCTGATGAGGTAAATCCTGATCACCCCTTAGGACTGCTGTGTCACAATTTCTCTTTGGGTTGTCCCTCAGGTGACCACAGGGCAGCTGAGACATTGATGTCCAGTGGGTGGTGGGAGCTTCAGGTCTGAGACAGAAAAGAGAGACCACTCTGGGGACACAGACTTGGGAGCTGGAAGCTTGTAGATGGAATGTGTGAGACCACCCAAGGACGGGGACACTGTGGGATGAGCAGAAGACCTAGCACAGATTTCCCAGCAACATCAACATTAAGAGGCAGCAGAAATTAGAAAAGTCACTCAGGAGACAGGAAAAGATGGAGAAAGCCAACAGTCTTGGGGCCATGGAGGCTGAGGGAAGATGCCCTTGGCAAATGCTGCAGAGAGGTCCTCCAACGTAAGGAACACTTTCCATTGGATTTAGCAATATTCACTGGTGCCCACAGGGAGAGCCACCGTAGTGGCCCCATGGAAGAAGAAGCTGGGCTGCCATGTGGTGAAGTGTGAGTGGGAAGAGGTGGAGAAACTCTTCCCCCCACAGTGCAACGTCCTAGCTGCAGCACCTTGACCAAACTTCTTGACCTCTTTGAACCTCCATTTTTTTAAAACCTAGAAATAAGGGTATTAACACCAATCTTACGGGGTTGTTGTGATTAAGTGAAATTAGGTAAAACAAGATGTTTGACAAATAGTAGGTGTGGAATAAAGGGTAGCTATGGTAAACAGAACACATATTATTGCTGCTGCTTGGCCATAAAGGATTTGAAATATAAGACTGGAGCAAGCATGGGATGTGGGGTTAATGGATTTTTTTTTTTTTTTTTTTTTTTTTTTTTTTTTTAACATGGAATAGATTCACTGGAGCATGTTCAGAGATGGAAAATATAGCTGTAGAAAGTGAAGAAAACTGTCCCCTGTTGAAATGAACCTGCGACCTTGGCTGTATCAGCTCTGGTTATAAGGAAACAGAGCTGACTTGAAAACCCTCAAATGTATTTGGAAAAGCCACTAGGGTTCCCAGAAAGCATAGCTGTTCAGAAACCTCAGTAAATGCCATCCGCAGTTTCAATAGGCCTTATCACTCCAGCTATAATATGCTTTCTGGAATGAAATGTTGTTGATTATACAGCCAGGCTATGATTTTCTGATTTGTGCAACAATATCTCTCTGGAAGGAAGATAGATTGTCATGCATTGAATTCCTAATCTAATGCCTAATTTTGTCCAAGGTACTGTAAATCTTGATGTGTTACCTGAAGGGAAACCTTCGATTTCCAAAAAATGAGTATTATAGAGTTTTCTATGACCCAAAGAGACTTGTGCTGCAGGCAGCAACCGCATGGCATGGATTTTTGCCAGCCGCATTAAGATGCTGAATATAGAAAACAGCAGATTCTGATCCTGACCAACTGTCACCCTGTGTCCGGCGGCCCCTCACCTTCAGCAAACTCAATTTCTGAAACTCTGAATTAGCACCAGAAATAAATGAGAAGACAATGCTGCCCTTTAGCAAATAAAGTCCAGAAAGGTTAAGTGTGCGTGTACATGTCACTGGGCAATTTTGGTCTACCTAAGGGGTCTTCAGGAGAACCACCCAAACTTCAGTCACCTCTCCAGGCCTGGTAGGAGAGAGACAGTGGGGTCAGAAGACCACAAAGGCAGGTTTTAAAATGAGTTGCCAGGAAACAAACTTACCCATAATTTTCTAACTTAATTCAGTTGGCTTCTTCCAGGAAGTCCTCCCTGGTATCTTTAGGTGTAGTGTCTCATCTCTGTGTTCCCACAGTTTCAAGTGCTTAAACTCTTAAAGTTCTTTTTTATTGAAGACTCCAGAATGCCTGTACAGGAATGGGTTAATGGGCTTCAATCTGGTGTGTAAAGGCCCCTGGAAGCTGTAGTTTTCTATCCTTTTACGAAGGATTGTGGAAATATCAATTGTCCACATCAACAATCGTTGGGAAGGGGCCCCTGGAAGATTAAGGAAAACCTTAGCAAATCGACACAGTGTCTGCATATGGTAAGGACTCCAGAAGAGTTCATGGGAATTATTTCATTGATGGAATGTGATATTCGTAGTCTGGATCACTGCTTGCCCTTCAGTGCTTTGAGCTCACTGCCCTGGGTGTGTATTCTCCTCCCTACTGTGGTCCTCTGCCTGCTGCTTTGAGAAGTTCTGGAGGAAGAGGGAGCTGGTTGAATTGTTAGCAATCAAAAAACGCCTCATGAAGAGATGGGAGATAAAGATGAGGGGTCATTGTAAGTAGTAAAACAAGACTGAGCAAGATGGCAAGAGGAGGGCTACGGTGAGAGCCATGGTACCTGGAGGATGAGGCAAGAGAGAGAATGGAAAGGAACCCAAGACCATATGCTGGGGGTGGGGGGTGTCTTGAATTCAGCTCCAGGACTTTGAGTGTAGTGTAGTAGTCACTAGAAGCCACTGAAGTTTCTGGAGCATGGGATTCTGACAAAATTGTTACTTATAAGGCATGGTTTCCCAAGTTTGCATTAAAATAATTTTCTTAAGTATCCATTGTGTCAATACTAAGCATGTTTTAATAATTTTTTTTCATGTCTATTTATTTTGAGAGACAGAGAATGCACACACATGTGTGTGAGTCGGGGAGGGATAGAGAGAGAGAGAAAGAATCCCAAGCAGGTTCTGCACTGTCATCACAGAGCCTGATGCAGGGCTCAACCTCACAAACTGTGAGATCATAATCTGAGCTGAAAGTAAGAGTCAGACGCTTAACTGGCTGAGCCAGGCACCCCAATACTAAACATTTTTAATACTAACCACTGTTTCTTGAAAAATGTTATTTATGTATGTGCTTCTCTGTAAGAGACAAAATAAGGTTGCCTGTATATATTTTCTACTATGAAAAGTCCATTTATTTGGCAAATTTGTAACTGAATCCCTACTACCTGTATCACACTGGACTAGGCCCCCTGAGGATACAAGGATGTATGGAATCAGGTTCCTGCCCTCTGGGACCTTAACACGCAGAGGAAAGATGAGGTTACTATAAAACACTATGTGAAAATCCAAGTGAGTCAGAGGTGTGTGGTCATCAGTAGCAGAAGCCTGTTCAAATTAGTTTAGAAGTGGTTACAGATGTAAGCCATGACAGTGTTTGTGGTCAGGATTCAGATGTGACGGGGGCCAAGGAAAAGGCCGAGCAGCTGGGCATCCCCGAGGGCTGGTTCAAGAGACCAGAAGCAGCTCCCCCTTGCCTTTCCTTCCACCTCATTTTTCCCTCTGGGTGAACACTCCCTGCAGCACAGGCCACATGTGGCTGTCCCACATGCTTAGCTCCAGCCACACCCAAAACACTGTCTGAAATCAATGACTTTCAGGCCCTAAGTAGGAGTCCCATCTTGGGTCAGCTGTCCAGCCTGGTCCAATCAGCGGTGGGGCAGATATGTAGAGATGGGTCACATGGTATAACCAGCTCCCGACCCCACCCCTGTGGCAATGGGGCATCACTCTGTCCAAATAGGAGGAAATTGTGACGTAGACAGACACATACATACGTAGGAGACAAAACATACTCCCTTGCCAGTGTGATTGCAAGAGTTAGAAGGTAAGTGGTTTGGGAGTTCAGAGGAGGTAAGATCCCTAACAGCTGAGGAATGTGTGGAACCTTCCAGCCATCAAGGATCAAGGACTTCCAGACACATGGGAGGGCATTGTAAGTAGTAAACACAGACACACACACACACACACGTACTTGCATGCACACATACAAAGTAAAAAGACCAGTAAAGGTAAATATAGATAAGGGCTGCAATGGAAGCCATTGAAATTTCAGCTATAAAAGAAAGGTCTACTTCAGATGGCCTTGCACTAAGTTGTCCCTCCATTCTCCCTGAGGAGGTGACACTTAAAGGAGAACTAAATGATAAAAAGTTAGCCATAGGAAGTACCATTCCAGGCAGAGTTCAGCATGTGCAAAGGCCCTGAGGTTAATGTGAATTTATGTGTTGAGGTGGAGCCCAGTGACTGAGGGAGGGCCACCTGAGGTAAGAACAGAGAGGGGCAGGAGCAGGTCATGTTGGCCTAGCAAGCCACGGTAGGAGCTGGGTTTTGTGCAAAGTGAGATGGGAAGCTATTAAAGGGTTGTAAGCAGGGGCATATTATCAGAAAATTTAAATGTTAAGAGGCAACTCCTGGCAGCTGTGTGAAGAATGGGAGGCAAAAATGAAAGGAGGAAGCCCAGTTTAGAGGCTCCTATGGTAATCGAGGTAAGAGGCGATGATGGCTAGATCCTCACCTCCAGGAGATGGACAAATGAGGGTGGATCAGACACAACTAATGGGACAAAGTGCTGGTTGGCAGCAGGGGGCTGAGGGAAAGGGGAGAATCAAAGGTGGCTCCTAGGTGTCTGGTTCTGGAGGGAACAATCAAGAGTTCTGATCTGGAAGGGTTAGATTTTTCATGTCTTTGAACCTTCTAGTACAGTCATGTTTGTGCAAAACTGCAGTGTGGAGGGGACCTGTGGGCTGAACTATGCATTGAATGTTAAGGAGAAGCCCCTCAGGTGAGCTTAAGTGGGGTTTGTTATGAGGACTCAGAGGAATGTCACCAAACCTGAGGGCACAGGTAAGCCTGGCAAGCCTTGTGCACTCCGGGAGCCAAAGCAGCCTTCCCATCTTTGTACAAGCGACGAACTCCAACAGCCCCCACTGAGTCTGAGACTCCAATGTGTCCGTCTCTCTTTCTCCACGTCTGCTGTATCTGTCTCTGCATTTTTCTCCATGTCTATTAGTATTTGGGTTTTTGTGTCTCTTTCTCATTCTGAACGTGTGGCTACGTGTGGGGGCGTGTGCCTCTCCCTGTGTCTCGCACTCCATGATCATTTCTCTGCTTTTTCTCTCTTCATGCATTAGGAGTGTCTGTGCTTTTATCTGTCTCTGTCCATCTGTCTGTCTGTCTCTTTCTCTGGCTGCACTGTCTCTTGCACTGTTTCCTTTAACATGCTTGTTTCTTTCTCTCCCTGCAAATGATGAAATGCGGCTGCTCCTATCCGACTTTGACCACACCTTCCAACTCACCTGCCTAGCAGAGACCGACCACCAATTCAAAATTCCAATTTCAAATTCCTGGGGGAGAGGATCTGATTGGCCCAGCTTGGGTCAGGCACTAATTTCTAGTTCAATTCAGCTGTGGCCAGGAAGGCATGAAGCAGGGGCAGGGAAATGTCAGGTGCCATAAAAATGATTGTACGCTACTCATCAACAGAGCACTAAGGTCCTGGCCAGTGGCAAAGAAAAGAAGATAAGAGACTTTGAAAAACAGATGCTCACTAGTAGGAAATATTATAAACATCTAACTAGAAACACCAGCAGAATCAAACAGTATAAGAGAGCTTGCCAAAATTGCTCGATTTAAGGGCAACCTCGGAAAATCACTATTGTTTCTTTACACCAGTAATAACCAATTAGCAGAAAGAACTTTTAAAAAGATATAATTCACAGGAGAAACAAAACCTGAAAAATATGTAAGAATAAATAAAACCTAGAGGGAGTAAACTTTTAAATTCTAATAAATACAAATACATGCATATATGACTTGAGTAAATGAATAAATTCCAAGGTCATGAATGGGACAACTTAATATTACAAGAATATCAATTTTTCCCCTCAGCCTATAAATTCAAGACAATTACAATCAATTTTCCAGGTAGGGTTTAAAAAAAAAAGACTTTATACTTTCCATGGAAATAAAAAACTTGAAAGAATTTACTCTGAGGAGCTCTGGGCGTTCACAAGCAGTGTGTGCCATGTGCTGAGGACAGGGCGGAAAAGCTAAAACCTGTTGAAGTACCCTGGGCCTCAGCAGGTGCACCACGGCAGCCCTCTGAAAACTGGAGCAGGGCAGGAGGACAGAAAAAGGTCTCCTCTGACACAAAGACAGGGAGAGGATGGAGACCAACGCTAACTCCCCATAGCAGAGAGTTCCCTTGGCACACAAAGCTGGCAATTGAGCTGTAAAGTACAGGGATATTCAGGGCCCTGGGTCCCCAGGTCCCCATTCCTCCTAAAGGGGAAGTCCTGATCCAACCCTTTGAAACCAGTGGTAACTGAATCAAATTACAGGTACAAGGAAACCCTGGAATCAGTTCTGTTAGAGGTGAGATTTATTCAGCCTTTCCCACCCACTAGTGGCCTGGCAGAAGGTCCATGCCTGCCCTGGGAGATAGACAGATTTACCCCAGACTCTCTTGCTCTTTTTCATACCACATCTGCAATAAAATTATTTTTTAAAGAATCTATATGTAAAAGAATATGGACTAACTCCATTTATGTGAGGTTCTAAAACAATCATGGCAGGGGATGGAATTGGCACAGGGCATAAGAAAAATTTCTGGTGTGGTAAACTATTCTATATCTTAAGGGTGCCTTACCTTAATTCTGGACTTTTATTCTTTGTGTATATTTTTGAGATATAATTTTACACATAACAAACATGGAAAGATCATAAGTATTCAGCTAAATAAATTTTGAAAATTACATGTAACTTTTGATTTATGCCTCAATAATTTCTATGGAAGGATAAAAAAAAAAACTATAGTTAATTAGGACAACCTTAAAAAAAGAAGAGAAACTTGCTTTCTCTGATAATATAGTATACTATGAAGCCCTGGTAATAAAAACAGTCTGGTATTGTTCTACAAGCAGATAACGGCCAATAGAACAGAATAGAGAGCCAAGGAAGTCCTATTATCACACCTCTTACATGGTAAAATAACACCATAAATCAAAGAAAATACTGGTTAGTAACAGTGTTGAGAAATTGGGACACAAGAAAAGCAAAGTTGGATTCCTACCTAATATCACTTTATTCCAAATAGTTAAAAGATCTAAATGTGTAAGACTAACATCTAAAATGAATAAGATATAGACTATTGTTTTGACATAGAAGGAAGAAAGCAGTTCCTAAACAATACCTCAAAAGCACAAACCACATGGCAAAAGTCAGATGGATTTGATCAGATCAAAATTATGTATTTTCCAACTCAGTGAAAGAGATTGTGGCGTTAATAGATGGCAGAATGAAAGGACATACTTGTGGCATTTAATATCAACAGAGAATTCATTATTTAGAATATGCAAGAAACTCCTGTAAATTTAAGGGAATATAGACAGCAACCCCAAATTAAAAATGTTCAAAGGATATGATTTAGCAATTTACAGAAAGAAAAATTCAAAAGGCTAATAAGCATGTAAAGAGATGTTCAAACTCATTAGTAATCAGGGAAATTCTAATTAACAAAGTGTCATCTCTTTATACTTATTAGACTGGCAAAATTGGAAAACTGGATAATGCCAAGTGCTGGAGGGGTTTGGGGTATGCAAATTTCCATGGATAGCTGCTGGGAGTGGCGTAGCCATTCTGGAAAGGTTCGGTGAGTACTTAGTCGAATTAGATATGCAAATACCTATGACCCAGCCACCCTGTTCCTTGGGTCTATATCCCAAGAAATTCTCACAGAGTCCAAGAGACCCAAGTATGAGGCTGCTGAGTTATTCTAGGGTGCAAGGGGGTGGAAGCGTGGCTAGGTAAGTTGTGGTGGACGTGCACATCATGGCATAGGTACCAGTCAGCAGTGAGGAACAATGAACCAAATAGGTACATGGCAGCAATGATGGATCCGGAAAACACAGAGTTCGGCAAAACAAGAGAGAACGTGAAATATATGATACGACACTATGTAGGTTCATTTAAAACACATGTACACAGAACACCTCTAGGCCTTTGCAAATGGACACACATTGAACACTCGGATGATTGGCTGGGGTAAAAGTAAAGGAGAGTGGGAGAAAGGAATGGAGAAGAAGTAAATAAAACAAGGGGTGGGGAGGACCTTGCACGCACCATGACGGTTATGGGCCACGCACGCTGATGACCAGTATGAACTCAACCCTCTGCACCCGAGGCTTAACACTGTTATAAGGGTTCCTTCTCAGGGGGAGAAGGACAATATCCAGGAGGGGGATAGGGGGCTGTCAAGTCACTAGGTCCCTGAGGGCCTGCAGTGCACCAAGTGACTGTAAACAAGGAAGCGACTTCATCCTTGATTTTCTTAGAAGAAATTTAAGTTCAGAGAAGCTAAAGAACTTGCCCAAGGTCACAGTTTGTAAGAAGCAGTGCCAGAATTCAGACTCAGTATCAAAGTGAGTCATCATTCGCCCGCTGTTGCCCTGACCCAAGCACACATGGCTCATCTGCACTGCGGCCACCACCTTCTCGCTGGCCTCCCCATCCCCCTCCACATACACACATGCAGAACAGCCAGAGCCGCTCTGTGGAAATGTGAGTCAGATCACGTCACTTCCCAGCTCAAAACCCTTCAAAGCGGTCTCTGTCCCACATCATTCGGGACAAAATCCAAAATTCTTTCGTGCCCCCAGATGGCCCAGCCCCCGTCCGAGCTCTCCGGTCTGCTCTTCCAGGTCAGCCACATCGACCTCCTTGTTGTTTCCTCAACACTCCCAGGACATTCTAACCGCAGGACCTGGCACTAGCTTCCTCACATTTCCACTAGGCCTATGCATCACTTCACTCAGGTCTCCGCTCATGTGACCTGCCAAAGAAAGCCTTCCTGACCATCTTATCTGTAATGCACCATTTTCTACTTATCATTTTTGATGCTTCCCTCTGCTTCGTTTCTACCACTTATCCTTACCTGGCAGCAGATTACCTCTCTTTTCGCTCGTTGGTTTATTTTTGTCTTCCACATTAGAATGAGGGCAAGTTACTGCTCTGAATCATGTGCTGTGTACAATCCCTGGCCCATGGCAAACCCTCATGCAATGTATGTGGGTGACTGGAGGTCTGAGCCCAGAACCCATTCTGTCCACGGTGGCACCATTCATGGCTCCCAAACTCAACTTGGGGAACAGATTGTGGTGCAAATGGAAGCAACAGCAAAGGTCAAAAGTGGCCCTTTACTAGGAAGCAGGTGTGCAGGTCAGAGAGAAGGAATCCCAGAACCTAATGCAGCTGAACAAAGTGGGGACCGGGAAGAGGAAACAGCAGGCATGGAGATTTTAGGGTGCCAGTTTCTCCAATCTTTCTGTTTCTGCTTCCGGAAAAGATGACAACCAAGCTGACCAACCAGTTCCTCCACCCCCAGAGCAGCCAAAGGCTGACCCTGTTCTTATGAGCCTCGTGGGGGAGAAATTTCACAACTGCCCTACAAAATCCCCTTCCCAAGTCTGATGATCATAACAATATGAAATCAATTCTTATTAGTAGCATAAATGTCTCTCACTGCAATGTTATCCCATTTCCTCCAAGAAATGTACTATGTAATTGAGAAATAAATAAGGGGGTAAAGTGCCATAGAAATCTAACATCATGTACACAACTCAAATAAGAGATGTTCCCCCTGGATTGTAATTATGTCTCTTGTTAATCCCAGCTAGCTCTCAGACTCTAGCTCGTAGGGCTGAACTTTGCAATCAGCTTCCCTAAAAATACCACTTACTATAGGTCTCTCCTAAGAGACACCATCGACACAACCATTAAGAGGAGAGACTCCTTGGTGGGAAGAGACAAAAATCTTTTCTCAATTTATTGCCCTTCTATTCATTTTTATTGCCACTATTCATTTTTACCCCCCTCTAAATGATGTTCTTAGGATCCCTGGAAGAATGCTGGCCTGGCCATAAAACCCAATTTGGCAAAAGGAGACCGGGCTACTCTCCCTCCAGTACCATGTGAAATGCCATCTTCATGGATTCATCCCTTGGAGTTAAGTGTTTCCCTCCTTCAGGTTCTGCATCCAAAATGTCAATAGCTGAAGATGAGCCGCAAGGCCTTAATGTATCAGCATAATGGGCATTTATTGCTTTTGCTACATGTGTTCAGCCATCCTTCTTCTGGTGTCCCCCGCCCCCGCATACACACATCCCAATTCGCTTGCAACAGCCACCTTCAGTAACAGTTTTTAACACGCTGCATAACAAACAATCACAAAACCTTAATACTCACAGAAATAAGCATTCATTGCTCACATACCTGGGATCAGGTATGTGTTTCTCTTTCTGGGCTTCTTTACACTTCTGGGGGCCACCTGGCTGTTTGCTCCTCCAGGCTGGCCTCTGCTAGACAACTGGAATGATCTGACTCTCTTCCATGTGTCTGTCACACTCCTGGATATGTGCTCATAATGATGGCAGAGGTGCAAGAGAGCAACAAATACACCTACGCTCAGAAATGACACAATCTCAGCAGCTGTGGAATAAATGCAAACTTAAACAAATGCAGGTCACTGGAAAGATAAATGTTGAGGTACAGGGTTGGTGAAATGATGTTGGATGTTCTCACATTTGGTGGAGAGAGAACCAACTGGTAAATCTCCTCATATGGTGATTTGACAAATGTGCAGTCCCTTTGGCCTGGACATAATACTTCTGGGGATTTACCCTTAGCAAACCGAGAAGTGTTCAGAGATAGGTGACTAAGTACACCTAACACAACAGTTAAAAATGGAGACAAGTTAAATGTCCAGCATCAGGAGATGAGTGAAACAAAGTATAATATTTCCATGCAATGGAATATCGTATTATATATATATATATATATACATGGTATTATACATATATGCAAGAAATATTTACTCTACAGTTAGGTGAATATAACATGTCGTGTGAGACTACTTTTCTTGAGAAACCACACATAATTTATAGAGATATATATTCATTGAAAAGAAAAAGTTTAAATGAAAATACCAAAATGTTAATTGCAATTATCTATCTCTGGGTGGAAAATTATAAGATATTTTATTCCTTTTGCTTGTCCATATTTTCATATTTTTCCACAGTGGACCTCTATTATCCATTTAATTTTAAACCTTATTAAAATGGGCCTGATTTTCCAATCTGATTACAGTCTAACACATCTTTTTTAGGAATGTTTCACGCACAGTGGACTCTAAACCCCCCATCCCCTTGGCCTGGTACTTTTTGCTAAGGCTGGCATCATAAGCATAACCCTCTCCAGTTTCATTACTGTGTGGGCTTATAACCTGTAACCAATTAATTCAGGGATGGGAACTTTGGAACACCAGTGGCCCCTGCCTCCCTAGCACCACCTAGAGTATGCAGCCTGATGACAATGCCTGCCCCAGGGCTGTGGTTTCTATTCCCAATGGCAGGAAACTAACTCAGCTTCTTTCTGCAAAAATCTAAGTGTACACAATTAAAGGTGCCTTCCTCTGGAGGATTCCGGGTCCCAGAGCTGCTGCTGGCTGCACCTTGGGAACAGGAGCCCTGTGCAGAAAGCACTAAGGAGCTCATTACTCAAAGGTGCCCTGTGGCAAACCATTCGCAAAGCGAGCAAGCTGTTTGTAGAGTGAGTAATCACTCTAGCGTTTGAGTTTCACTCACAAGGAATGTTAACAGCACATTGTAAACATCATTCATGTTAATACTATTTTTTTCAATCCTTCATTTGCAGAGTGAAACATTCCTTCATCTGTCCCTGATCCAAAACTTATATATACTTGAGAGAATGTATCGGGTTGTTAAATAATGTTTTTCAATTTGTTTTCCAATATCTGGATTGGCTGGGATTTGGCCTTAAAGACTTGGCTGACCTTCCTAGACGACCGGGTGACAGATTCTTCCAGAAATCCAACTAGAATGAGCACAGAGCAAAGATAAAATGTGATGCTCATATGACCTTCACTGAGGTGTCCCAGGGGCGACTGGAAATAGGCTTCACGGACCCCAAATCTCTCTCTTCCCTACCCACTCTCATTTATGTCTTAGTCCGTTCAGGCTGCGATGACAAAAAATACCATGGACAGGGCAGCTCAAATACCACACATTTATTTCTCACATTTCCCAAGACTGAGAAGTGGAGCAGATTGTGTCCTCAAGTGGGAGAGCTCTCTGGTCTCCTGTAAAGGCACTAATCCTACTCAGGAGAGCTTTACCCTCATGACCTAATCACCTCCCAAAGGCCCCGCCCCCAAAGATCGCCACACCAGGGACTAGGTTTCAACATACGAATTGGAGGGGGACACAAACCTTCAGTCTATGGCAGTGTGCCTCTGTGCACAGGACCCATGAGCCTGAGAGCCCCGGACTGATTTTTGTCTGCTTTATCCAGCAGTGTGTAATAGCTCCTTATTAACACTTCCTACTAAGACTGGGGATTGTCCATTTCTCCTTCTAATCCTGTTTTTAGGCCATGTTATTAGGAGTGTAAGGTCATAATTATATCTTGATGAATGACACCATTAATCATTCAGCATCTAATGCTTTTCACCTTAAAATCTATTTTGTCTCAAAGAGCAGCTTTCTTTGGGCTAGCATCTGCCTGACAGACTGTTTCCACTCTTTATTTTTTTATAAGTTTTTAATGTTTATTTATTTTGGGGAGAGAGAGAGAGAGAGAGAGAGAGAGAGAGAGAGAGAGAGAACATGAGTGGGGGAAGAACAGAGAGAGAGGGAGACACAGAATCCGAAGCAGGCTCCAGGCTCTGAGCTGTCAGCACAGAGCCCGATGCGGGACTCAAACTCATGAGCCATGAGATCATGACCTGAGCTGAAGTCGGATGCTTAACCTATGGAGCTACCCATGTGCCCCTCCATGCTTTATTTTTAACTTTTCTATATTAGTTTGTGTCTCTTATGAGCAGAAAACAAATGGATTTTATGACTTTGATTTTTAGTCAACATGATAGTCCCTGTATTTAACGGGTTAGTTGAAAAAGTTTACACCTAGATTAGTAATATATATTGTTTATTGCTTAACTTGTTTTTCCTGTCAATAATGTCTCTCTTCTGAGCTTCTCTTTATCCACTGATTTGATTACATTTGACTTCTCTTCACCCCCTCCCTGTTTTGTCCTTCGTTTGATGGTTGTAATATCTGTTTCTATTACTTAAGTGGTTGCTCAAAAAATTTTAATAGTACCTATCTTTCATTGGGTATATTTTCTAACAAAGTCCAATGTTTGGGTATGCCATACTTTCTTCCTTCTAAACCACATGGGATCATCTTCAGTGTTGATACTGGTGATCTACTCTATTGAGGAGGTGGGAGATAGGAAAGGAACAGGATGGAGGGCAAGCCTCTGACACTAGGAATATCAAGAACACTCGCTTACATTTGTTTTCCTTTTTCTTTTTTCTCTTTTTTTTAACGTTTATTTATTTTTGAGACAGAGGGAGACAGAGCATGAATGGGGGAGGGCCAGAGAGAGAGAGAGAGACACACAGAATCTGAAGCAGGCTCCAGGCTCTGAGCTGTCAGCACAGAGCCCGACGCGGGGCTTGAACTCACAGAGCAGGAGATCATGACCTGAGCTGAAGTCGGACGCTCAACCGACTGAGTCACCCAGGCGCCCCATATTTGTTTTCTTTACCACAATTAAAATCCCTTTACTGTATCTGTCAGGATTTTTCACAATATATGTGTAGTGTAAACCATTTTCAAGCAATACATAAAAGTGTAAGAGAAATGAAAGTCACCCAAAATACTTTCTACCCTGAGATAACAAGATTTAGGTGACCATCCATTCATGTATCTCTATATGCAGATATAAAGATATATGCATATATCTTTATATTTTCATACATAAAATTTTCATAAGTGGACTTATGCATTTGCTTTTTAAATCCAATGACTGCTTCTATTGAACTTGAGTTTTGCCTGCTTCTCCCCTACTCCAATGCACACATCTTATATAACCTATATATTAACAGCTTACCTTAACATCCTATCTTAGCTTTTTCCAGGTTCACTTAATTGTAGATAGGTGAGAGAGAGACAGAGAGAGAAGACAAATCTACATAATTTTAGTCGTTATTTTATAAAACTAGGATTATGTTATACTCCTCTGAAGTTTGCTTTTGCCACTTTATAATTTATTACGTAAATCCTCTGTAGTCAGCTGTAATATACCTAACGTATTCTTTGTACGTTTTTTATTAAGAAAATGTTCATACATACACAAAAGAAGTGAGAAAAGTGTAATGAACTCTCACGTATCCATCACCCAGCTTCAACAGTTATCAATATTTACATTTTGCCAATCTTGTTTCATTAATCCTTCCCGTGCTAGGCATCATAATAGCCCCCAAAAGGTGTTCAAATTGTATCCTCTAAGAATATGTTACTTTACATGGCAAAAAAAGATGTTGCAGATGTGATTATGTTAAATACACTGAGATGAGGAGATTATCTTGGATTATCTAGGGGGGCCCACCTCATCATGTGAATCCTTAAAATTGGAGAATCTTTCTTGACTGTAGTTAGAGAAGATGTAACCGTGGAAGAATGACCAGAGAAATGCAACCTTGATGGCACTGAAGATAAAAATGGCAGTGAACCAGGGCCTCTAGGAGCTGGAAACAAGAAGGAAATGGATTCTTCCCTAGAGCCTCCGGAAGGGAGCACAGTGCTGACAACACTGTGAGGTTAGCCCCTGGAGAACCAGGTCACCCTACTAACCTACAGGACTGCAAGGTAGCCCAAGGAGTTTTTGGGCTACTAACTTTATGTTAATTTATTACAACAACAGTGAAAAACTAATATACCCAATTAAAAAAATGAATATACCTCCCTTTCCTTTTATTCTTTCTTTCTTCTATTCTTTCTCCTTTCTTCCCTTCCTTCCTTTTCTTTCTTTCTCTTTTTCTTCTTTCTCTTTCTCTCTCTTTTTCTTTCTCCCTGTCTTTCTCCCTCTCCTTTCCTTCTTTCTCTCTTTCCTTACTTTCTGGTGGGTGCTGCAGTATTTTACACAAAATTTCAGATATCATTGTATTTTACCTATAAATATTTCACTTACCATAGATTTTTAACATGAGGATTTTTAAAAACAATCACAATACCTGTTATACTTTACAAAATGAATAATTGTTTAACATCATCTAATAGTCTGTGTTCAGATTCTCCTTGGTGTCTAAAAAAAAAAAAAAAGCCTCTCTTAATACTTGTTTTACTTAATCAGGTTCTTTTTTTAAATATAATTTGTTGCCGAATTGACTTACGTAAAACACCCAGTGCTCACCCCAACAAGTGCCCTCCTCAATGCCCATCAACCACTTTCCGCTCTCCCTCATCAACCTTCAGTCTGTTCTCTCTGTGTTTAAGAGTCTCTTATGGTTTGCCTCCCTCCCTCTCTGTTTGTAACTACTTTTTCCCCTTCCCCTCCGCCTCCCCCATGGTCTTCTGTTAAGTTTCTCATATGAGTGAAAACATATGATACCTGTCTTTCTCTTTTAATCAGGTTCTAAAGAAAGTCTTCAAGTTACATTTTATTGATACTTAAGTCACTTTTAATTCATAAGTTTTCTCTTATCTCCTTCTAAACAGGCTTTTTTTTTTTTTTTTTTTTTTTTGGTGGAAAAACCTAGTCATTTGCTCAGAATTTGCCACATTCTGAACTAAGGTGACCACAGCCTCAATGTAGCAATTAACATGTTGTTCTATCTTGAGTATTTCCTATAAAATGGAAGTTAGATCTAAAGGCTTGATGAGATTTATATTCAATTCTCTTGGCTTCCTGTTGCATTACACGTGATTGTTTTGCTTTGAGTGACAATGAAATGGATTGGTGGCTCATGTGTTGCCCACCTACCTATCCTTCATAAAGTTTCCCAAAAGCCTTTCACCCTGTGATATGGGGAGTCCACTGCCTAAATCTATCACTTCATTAACATTCTTTTAGCATCATTAAAACCCATTTGCATATATGTGATGCATTTTTACCTTTTGCAATTTTTAAAAATTACTCAAGCTTTCCCAACGTTAGCCAATGGGAGTCCCTATGATTGGCTCCTGCATTCTCTTGACATGCACCATTAATGCTTGATAGCTGCCACTTAGTATGAAATGCCATTTGAAGAACACAACCGAAGTGATCAGGGTTAGCTCACTCTTTTCAAGCCTGAACGATGGTTCATGCTATGAACATCAGAAATTGCAGGTGAGTCCACTCAACTGTATTCTAATCCTCTCAGTGTGTCTTACATGACACATGCCAACAACTACATCTTCTCCCTGTTAACTATACTAAATTCCTCATTTGACTGAGTTTCTACCAAACAGGCTCGTGAGAGAGATTTGGAAGCAAAAAGCATGGAAAAACTTTGCTCTGGCCTCTTCTCTTAGCACAGTCCTGGAGGCTGAGACATGGGAGCTGTCCTAGAAATCCCAGTGACTGGTGCCTAGCTTCACGGATTGCAAGGGTCAGGACACAGGGCAGTTATTTTGCTGTGTTATACAACTGCTGCAGTGTATATTGAATCTAGCAACTGGAGCTGGAGCTTCCTGAATGTCTAGCTTTATTAGCTTTTAGTAGGTTATGATACTTTAAAAAAAATTCTTAGTAGCTTAAGACAAAGGGTGATTTCTCCCTGATATCGTGCACTGGCTGTGGGTTTGATTTGACTCTACCCCTGTGTCTTCATTATTCTAGGGTCCAGGCTGACCAAGGAGCACCTATCTAGGACATGCCATTGTGACAGATTAAAAAGAGAGATGGTGGAACCATACGAAGGCACGTAGAGCTTTTATTTGGAACTGGCACACATCCCTCCCACTGACATTTCATTGGTCAAAGCAAGTCATGTGGCCAAGCTTAATGCTAATGGAGTGGAGAAGTAGAATCCTCTAACAAAGAAGAGAAGCAAATAATTGAGAATAATGCAATCCACCACTGTTGCTATGTTCGTGCACAGAGAGCAACAATTGTGGGCAAGTTATAGGCTGATGTCCTAAGAGTCACTCCTAGAGACTCAACCTAGACCCCACTCCTCCAGCCCTCCCAAGGGCTGGGCACCTGCCCGTCCTCCATATCAACTCCCTTTCTCCTCCAATCGATTGGAACTGAACTCTGCAGCCACAGAATGTAGCATTACAGTTTATTCATTCCACATTGGTAGGCGATCATTTTGTTTCTAGGTTTCGTTTTTTAATTTTGCTGCTAAATATAATGCTGCAACAAAACCCTTTAAAATATAGACTTAGATGCTGTATCTTTTTTTATACCTATGAATTTTGAGTTCTAGGTATAGGATTACAGAGCCAGAGAATATAGATGTTTTTCATTATAATCATGATTTCCATATTTATTTTTTAAAAAGCTAAAACAATTATTCTTTCTCCTTGCATGTTTACCAGTAATATTTAACTTTTTTTTTTTGCCATCTGGTAGGGGACAAATGTTATTTCTTTGATCCTCTAATTTGTAAGTCTCTGTCCACTGGTGAAGCTAGACATCTTTTTATTACAGACTTGAGGTATAATGTACATACTATAAAATTGATCCATTGCAACTGTACAGTTCAATGATTTTTTAGTAAATTTATATTGTTGTGCAACCATCACCATAATCCAATTCTAGAACCTTTTCCTCACCCCAGAAAGTTTCACCATGCTTGTTTGTAATCAATTCCTGCCCCACCTCCAGGCAACCACTAATCTGCTTTGTGCTTCAGGTTTTCCTTTTAGGACATTTTATATAAATGGAATCATGTAATACGCAGTCTTTTGTGTCTGGCTGCTTTCACTTAGACTGTCATCAGTGTTCATCCCTATCCATGTTGCAGGGTCTACCAGTAGTTTGATCCTTTTCATTGCCAAATACTATTCCATTTATGGATATACCACATTTTGTTTATCCATTCACCGGTTGATGTACATTTAGATGGTTTCTACCTTCAGCTGTTGTAAATAATGCTACTATGAAAATTTGTTTACAAGTCTTTGTGTGGGCATGTGTTTTTATTTATTTTGGGTAGATATCTAGGAGTGGAATTGCGAAGTCATAAGGTATTTATGTTCAACTTTTTAAGTGTCAAACTTTTCCAAAGTGGTTATACCAGTCTATTTTCCACCAGCAACGTACAGGGTTTGTTTCTCTGTATCATTGTCAGTACCGGACTTTGTCATTTTGACTAGAGCCATCCTAGTGGGGTTAATGATATCCCATTTTGGTTTGAAATTGCATTTCCTTAATAATTAATGATATCTAGCACCTTTTCATGTGCTTAGAAGCCATTCCCATATCTCCTTGGTGAAATGTCTACTCAGATCTTTTACCTGTTTTTAATTTTTTTTTCAACGTTTATTTATTTTTGGGACAGAGAGAGACAGAGCATGAACGGGGGAGGGGCAGAGAGAGAGGGAGACACAGAATCGGAAACAGGCTCCAGGCTCTGAGCCATCAGCCCAGAGCCCGACGCGGGGCTCGACCTCACGGACCGCGAGATCGTGACCTGGCTGAAGTCGGACGCTTAACCGACTGCGCCACCCAGGCGCCCCTACCTGTTTTTAAATTGAGTTGATATTTTATTATTGAGTTGTAAAACTTCTTTATATATTTTGAATAATTTGAATATGAAATTTTACATATATATAATTTACAAATATTTCCTCCCAGGCATGATTAAGCTCCTGATGTTCAGGCTATACCCCACCCTGGTTGAACCACCTGGACACCCAATCTTAAAATGAGGGAAATGAGGAACAAGAATAGTCCCAGGCAACAGTGCTACAGACTCCCACAGTGCTTACCTCAGGGATGTTCACATGAATAAGCACTTCTCAATATGTTGTTTGCCTCTGGTCAATTTCCAGACTTCTGAAATGGTTGTTTTGACAGTTTTTTCCCATTCCTTAGTTGTGTTTTGAAGAAAGGATTTACAGATCTCTTTGCTCCTCCATGCTGGAAATTGCTAGGCAATATTTTGACGTCACTTTTTATGTTTATGACCGGTTGGAGCTGGGCTTCTTCCTCAATAGCTCCAGAAACACCAGGTTGTGGTTTTTTGTCTAGGACTGGGATTGGGTGGTGTGCCTATCCCTGAATCACTCACAGTGGCCATGGAACACACAAGCCTGAGTTCAGGGATGGCTGGGCCTCGAGAAGTGAACTGTACCCCAATTCATGGTGCTAGGACATAATGCTAGGTAGCAAAAACAGTCAATATTCACCACAGCCTCCCTTTAGAGTTGTGATTCCGCATGTGAAGCCCTTACATCATGGGCCAGTGACCAACACCTACAATGTCCATCAGCTTCAGAGGGACCCCGCCTGAGTATGTGGCCCTGCTGAGTTCTTAATGACACTAGGCAAAGACTCCCAAGATTCAGGTACAGAAACCCGATTTGGAAGGGAAAAGATTTCAGCCCCTCGCCCCCCAGGTCTCTTCCAGCTGTAAGCCTAAGAACTTATCATTTGAGTTTTTTCTTTTGTTTTATATTTTACTTTTTCTTTTTTGTTTTGTTTTCTTTATTTATTTGAGAGAGGGAGAGGGAGACAGAGTGTGAGCAGGGGAAGGACAGGGAGAGAGAAAATCCCAAGCAGGCTCCACGCTGTCAACACAGAGCCCAATGAGAGGCTCAAACTCACGAGAGCATGACCTGAGCTGAAATCAGGAGTCCAAGGCTTAACCAACAGAGCCACCCAGGCACTCCTATATTTTACTTTTTCTTATGTTTCCTTTTAGTCTCTTGTCCCTTCTTCTCAGCAATGTTCTATTTTAACATTCCTTTACCTTCTCATCTGAAAGACTTCCCTGTTCTGTTTCTGTCATTCTCTGCCTCTGTCTTGCTCTCTTTCTATTATCAGCATCTATTTGTTGAACACCCACAACAGTCAGGCACTGTGCCCAGCTACACGTTGCAAAAACAAAGATGTATTAACTATAATCCCTTCTCTCAAGTTCACAGTATCTTTGCCAGAAAGAGCCTATCGTTCATGGTGAAGCTTATAGCACAAGTGTAACATGTAAGTGCAAAGTGAGTGATGCTGACAATGCAGGCTGTGCCTTCTCCCCAGGCTGGCCTTGTGCACAGACAGCTTAGCTGAAGGCTTCCATAACATTAAGAAGGCCTCCAAGCCCCGAGAATATCTTACTCTTCCCAGGGCTTGAAATTCCTCACTTCACCTCTTCCCACTGTGAAAAATTCCTATAACGTGACAACCACTAGGGTGCTCGATGCCAGGCATGTGACATAGGTAAGTTCCGAAAGGTTGCTTCCTTCTAAAGATGAATGGTATCAACCAAAAGGCAAGGCGGCAGCTTTGATGTGGTGGAGGATGGCTTCTCTAGTAGATATTCGTGTTAGAGAAGTGGGCCTGCATGGGGAATCCCTAAAGGGTATCCTGTGCCTGTGATGCAAGATAACATGGGTACAGAAGAAGGATGAAGACCCGGAGGGGGACAGAACCTCCAAATGCTCAAATGCTGATTCCATATACTTCATTTCTGGACCAGGGGCCACTCAGAATTCTGCCCATCCATTATTCCCTGTTTAATTTTCTTCTTTTGTTCTCTCACTTAACTGCCAGGTGATGGGCAATAGTTTATATGTGATTTAGAGCTCACTGACCTAGACAAGGCACTTGAACTTCTGTTGAAGTTTAAAAATTTTGCAATTCATGTGATCGAGCACTGCTAATGTCACAGGCTGGTGAATAAGTGTAAAGAAAAGCAAAATCTTCCATTCTATCATGGGCTCCTTGCCCACATAGTGAGTTATCACAAGGGCAAGCCAAGCGCAGAAACACCCCATTGGGGAGGGGACAATGGAGAGACTTATTCATGCTATGGAAATTTTGAGAAACTGAAAAAAAAAAAAAAAAAAGACCCTAGACAAGGGGTGGGGGGAATCACACTGTGAGAGAGAAAAAACTTCACCTTTGAGTGTGAGATTCGTTTACCTTTGTTAAGACACCCATCCCATGAACACTATAAATATAGCATCCTGATTATTTAAGAGAAAAACTCTAATTTTCAAGTTTGTGCTATTTCTAGCGATTCCAATCTGCTATGCAGGAAGCGTGAGAGTGCTGATAATTAAGGAACACTATGTTAGGCGATGATAACACACCGCCTCTGGATCCCGGCTCACAGTACCTTGTAAATGTGACAAAATCAGATCTGATACTGCTAAAATGTCAGGAACACACGTTAGCAATCCTCTGATTCCAATACAATTCAGTGATGCTTAAGTTCGCACTGCAATCCTTGTGTCACTGTTCCTTGTCATAGATAATATGAATTGAAGATAATTATTACAAGGAAATATCAAAAAGCCACAAGCTGAAATAATTTACAAATCACTTCCCCCCCGCTCCACTTTTTGTCACTGACCTGCATAAATTGCACAACCGGCAGTCATGAAAATGAGGGCGTTTGACTGAACTCCTCATAACCTTCAGGACTGTAAAGCAACAGAAAATGAATTCATGATTTTCTCTCCCCATCCACCCGCGTACTGATGACCCCATAGCAGTCAGCCAAGCCCCAACCTGGTTGTATTTCCAGATTCCTCCTCTCCCCATGCCAATCACACTAAATCCTATCAAGTTTACCTACTTCTCCAACCAGCCCCAGGTTCTGTTTCAGATCTTCCACAACTCTCAAAGTCATCTCCGGTTTCTGGTCCAAGCCCTCCATCTGGCTGCCTGAACGAGGTATCTAAACCGCAAGTCTGGCAGTGCCCCTGCCCTGCTTAATAACCCTGCAGAAGCCCCTTTTACCCC